CGTTAATCCGAAGATGCCGTTAATCCGAAGTTAAGCCTCAGCCCCGTTGACTTCGGATTAACGAGGTTGACTATGTAGATAGTTAACATTAATATCCTACAGTTACGTCGATGACTGTACGGAGATGGAGAAGGTTATTATACGTTATACTAACATATTGAGCTTGAAATTTTCTTTGAAAAAGAACAACGTTGTCTTTGTAGAATCTCAGTAACTTTATTCTTTGCACCATATACAGTACTTATACAAAGGATCTCAACAAATTCTCAAGTTAGAGTCTATATTTCATTGATGTTGTGTTCTAATTTGACCGGGGGATATTTGGAGGTTTGCGTTCTAAACAGACGGTTCGTAGTTGAGGTGAGGAAGTAAGCTCAGCTTGCATCATTTTTTCTCCCAGCAATTGGAAAGAGTGGCCAAAACTTAGCGATAGACGTGGTCTTGTAACTTTCACTCGTATGTTGTGCTGCCGCTTAAGCTAGATACCACTTAACTTCTGTAAGATCTTGCGCTCTTTCATGTCAAGCGTATAGCATAATGTTCGGATATGATTATCCCGTATATCCCTAATGGTGCTCTTGTAATGGTTCCTAGTGAATGATAATTATAAACGATACATTTAATTGATTTTATTACCGGCGCTGAATTTAACTATCGCGAGGAAGACTGTTGTTGATAATCTATCGCGAGGGACTTTTATATTGTTGTTGATAACTTCCCCAAATATATAGTTGAACGTTGTACAAGCAAGTGTTAAGTGATATAAAATCAGTAATCTGGTTTACGCACGGTTACTATTACTATTACTATTACTATTATTAACAATCTTAGTAACTTATATTATTACAAACTAACAACATGTCTCACAACTACTTCCTCAACAACGCCGGTGCTAGCGAGAATATCCGTGGCTTAGAAGCATGGATAGTGTGGCAGAAGCTGAACAATGTCACAAATTTGGTAGAAACAACAACGGCTGCGAAAAAGGGATATTTGGAAGAAATAACGAAGGCCATTGACTGGGCAGAAGGGAACGCACGGAAAATGTTGAAAACTATGCTTGAAAATGAAAAGAAGGACGTCAACAAAATAAACGCTGTAAGTTTTGTTTTTAAACCTTGCATTGAAATGATGAACCAGGAATGGCGATTCTGGATCCAAGCCATGCTCGGTTATTATTCGTGATGGTACCTACGGGTTAAGTTACGGTTGTAGACGAGAAAAGAGAGATATTTATCTTTTGAAATATGAAACCATCTTATATAGCTTCTGAGATCACCATCCTGTTAACCAATTTTTATATATCGGAAGTTCTTTTTCTTACAATTTTATGTTTCTTTTTAGGGTATCGTAGCTGAATTTATCAGCGAGGCTGAAGCTACTTGCAAGGAAGTGAGTATTGATAAATTGACATTGTTTTATCATTTAAGAATTGACATTAATGTTTATCAAATATATTGTAGATTCGAAAAGATTCTCAGTATGAAATAAATATTAACACTATCAACAAAAACATTACAACAATAAGGAATCATCTGGTAGGTGATAATAACTATTGATTATATTAATATAATTATAATCATTGATAAAATAAATAACTTTTTTTATTATTATAGGTCACGATTATTCCATCTGTTGATATTGAGGACGAGATGTACGTAATGCACTCATCACCTTTCACGACATTCTTGATGAGATGCATAACAGCAGGGAAGTAATTAATCCCCTACGACCCATCGCGGCCGGTGTTCTTGATACGAGTGGATCAGACAATCTTTGGACAAAAATGGTTGCTAAAGATGGAGCGGTAGTCCGTCTTAGCCATCCACCTGAATCATACTTTCATTCAAATGTTCATTGCAGCATACGTCAATGTGTCAGAAATTGGTTGACAGGAAAAAGGCTGCGTACATTTGTAGTGATGATAAACGTTGTCTGATCGACTCCATCAAGACGCCAAAGGGTTTGGATGATGAACCAGAAAGTGTCAAGCTGCAGGTTCATGCAGCACACAAGTTGTTGGAAAATCTGTAAGTCAAATTATGGAAATGCTATTTTGAGATAGTAATAGCTTTTGTATTTATCTATTTGTTCATTTTGTAGGCGTTTTATCTGGCAAAACCCAGAAGGTGTCAACGATTACAATGAAGGGACTTATGTTGTGGACATTATTTCACAATTGTTACAAGTTCTTAGATATGGGGAGAAGGCGTTTTGGCTGTAGATGGTAAATATGATTAATATTATCTTGTTCATATTAATAGTTAATAATTATTTCTAATTTGTATTTATACAATGTATTTACAGGGCTGAGGAGATTAGTGAAGCATCATCAAGGCATCACAAATCTGACATGCGTGTCAAGGTAAACCTACCTGACAAAGAAAGTCTGGAAATCTTATTTCTAGAGAGCTCGCGACCTAATGCAGATCTTCGAAAGTTTCTTTTGGATTGGGTTAAATTGATACGCATGGGTAAGGATGCACATGTTCGAATGTTCGATACCATGACGAAGCATCAGCCAGGGCAACTGGGTAAGTCTATTGACGGTAAAGAATTTCTGCGACGAGTGGGTGCTATACCTATCTTGTTGATACAAGTTCATTGCCTCAATGTTAAGATCGCAATATTAGATAGGCCTTATTGTGTATATTATCAGGTACGTGTGCTAGAGAGGCTTACACTATCCTTAGAAATTGGAGGATTTTGTATGCCGCTGGCTACGTCTTGTAGAATATCTCAATAAGATTGCTGATCAATTGCGGGATCTCCAGCAATTGAAAAGAAAGCAGTTCTTTATTCCAGATGACTCTGATGCAATGAGTATCGATAATTTGCAGACTCTTTTTATGATATCAACGAATTCTAAAATAAAGAATATTGAATTATTATAACTTAAACAATTGAATCGATCATACTTTTGCGATCCACATGACATAGCAGTGACAACATGACTTACATCCTGTAAGATAAAATGACATATAATAACTCTATTTAAGTAACAAATACGTAAATTCCTATGAGTTACCAGTAAAGATCGATTTCGCAATCAAGCCAGCCGTTTATGCATATTCAAATCGTACGTAATATTCTGTGGCAACAGTTACACTTAACAAACATGTAAACTATATGAGCATTGGATTCTTGGATGTTGCGTTATTAGTAATTGACGACGAAAATTGATTCTCTACCACACGTAAGTAGAGTATGATAGACACAAGCACCAAGTGTACACAGTGCATCCATGCACACCGAGTCCACAACACCATAGTCCCCTCCCACATCACCATAATCCCCTCCCACATCACAATAGTCCCCTCCCACATTCAATATACATCATTGAAATTTGCCATCTCCAAATTCTAGTATGGCATATGCCAAGTCGGAGACATTGACGACAAAGATATACTGATTTGACATAGAATGACGTTAATACCGAATCGTTAGTTAACAATGGTAATTACAATGAAAACAGAGACTGTTGATGAGCAACAACAAAGTCTACTATCAACGAGATCATTCAATCATATATTGGCATTCAACTCGAATGACTACCACCCTCTCCCCTCCACTCACATTTTCTAAAGAATTGACACACTTTTGATATAATGATAATAGTAATAGTAATTAATAATATAGTAAATAATAGTAATATAATGTTCACGCTTACATAATAATATACGTCTGAAGGAAATGGAATGTTAGAAACATACCAACAGAACGGTCCAGAGTTCGCATTTCCCTCCATCTCACCCCCACATGCCGTCTCTCAAAACGGTTTCTGTAATAAACAACAAGTAACAGTAATAGTGGAAATTGTTAGCTGTGAACCCAAGGCAAACTAAGGGAAGAAGGAAGTAAACGTTTATAAGACATGATAGAGACTCCGGAGCGAGAATTTCATATATAAAAATTGTGATCAGCATAACAACATTTCGTTATACGTGTGTAACACAGCATACCAGAAATTTTTTGTCATGTGATATAGATATACTCTAAACATAAACAGAAATGATCGGTGAAATAATTTTTGGTGCCCGAATACGAAATAATGTGATCTGCAAAAAACTCGGGATAAAAACTTAATAATAATACGCAATCATCATGCCAAAGATAGTGTCCAGTTCGACTGTCTCTTCGTCTGAGCAAATCAATGTCCGTCCTGAACAACACTTACATGTCTATTACTGCCTTTGTAGTGAATTTATTCTAGTTATAGGTAAGATCCGTTTTATGCGCTTGGTGTATAAACGAATGCAATCTGATTATTCTATTCAAATGAAGACGCTCGGCTAGAAAAACTGCCCCGTCGAACAAAAGATAAGTCGTATATAATAGCTAATAGTAAGAGGGTATATAAA